TATATATATATATATAAATAATTAATATGCACATTTATATTAATAGATATTAAATATTTAGAATAAATTATAGAATAGATTCTATTGAAAAACAAAATAAGTTCGTTTTATTGTAATAAATGTAGGATGTTTGAAAGATAAAAATATGATGCTGTTCAATAAATAGCTGCAGTCTTGTTCAAAGAAAAACTTCCACAGCTACACAACATATTGCATAATAAACACACAACATAATGTAGTTTAGACCGTTTATTTACAAAGTGTTCTGCAAATAAGCCCCCATTGCAGCGACAGTGCCAGTGTTATACATCGAGAAATGGCTTTATCACCATCATGACTCTCCGCCACTCTCCCAACTCTCATAGGTTTTGCTGCATGTGGGTGAAAACAGCTTCCACCTCTGTTGTTCCCCAATGTGAAACAAAGAATCCAGTGCATTCTGATATAGTCCAGCCTCAAGGTGTGAGCCTTGGGGATTTTTACCAAACAAAAAAAGTACAACACAAACCTCAGGTTCTGATGTGCTACAGAAATAACACCCTATTGACCACCATTTTTAATGTGCTGGCAGAAGTCTTCGAGAAAATACATTTACATGAGCCCAGCAGAAAAAAGAGGCTAGGTGCCAAAAGAAAGACAGATGAATTTTACATACACACCTCGCATTGCCTTGCATCCTGAAAAGATAAACAAATCAGATTTCAGGACAGTAGTTCCGCTTTGTCTTATCATTCAATGTCTTCATTAAGAGCCCCCTTAAATACAGCTGGTGATCCAAATTGTACTTAAAACAAAACATTCAAAAGTTTTGGGTCAGTAAGTAAGAAGTCTCTTATGCTCACCATCACCAAGACTGCATTTATTTGATTAAAATACAGTAAAACTACAAAACTGTAAAATGTTATTACAGTTTAAAATAACTTTACTTTTTAAATATATTTGTAATATAAATGCAATTTATTTCTGTGATGCAATGCTGAGTTTTCAGCAGCCATTACTACTTCAGTGTCACATGATCCTTCAGAAAGCATTCTCCTAATATGCAATAATATGTTTTGGTGATCAAAATAATTTCTTCTTATTTTTATCAATGTTGAAAACAGTTGTCCTACTTAATATTTTTGTGGAATCCGTTATGCATTTTTGTAACATTTTGCAAATGACTTTTCTGTCAATTTTGATCAATTGAATGCATCCATTCTGAATAGAAGTATCACCTTCGTTCAAATAAAAAATAAATCAACATTTTAGAAAGGTATTTAAGTTTATGAATGTATAATGTGCAAGCAAATTCAAAAGCTTTTATTGTCATTTGAATCAAGAGAGGAAATTTATGAAAACATGAAACATAAATTATGAATGACATGAATAAACGACTTGAAACACAATAATGAGTCCTGCGAGAGTCATGAAAAAATCCAATCAAATAAAGGCAATATAAATAAACATTAACATTTGTGATCATTTAATGGAATTTAGACAGAACCTTTCACATTCAGTAGATAACGGTGAATGACATACTTGATAAGGAGATGCATTTTTGGTCAATATGAGGTACTCAATTATTAGTAAGAACATCCAATATGAGAACATGATGAGGGCAAATTGAGACACACACACATACACACACCATCTGCTGAGTTCTAGATATCAGTGACCCACAGCCTCGAGCCTAAATGGGTTTTTACATCTAAAATGAATGTTTTCATAAGGGACCAGCATCTTTCCTTCTCCACTGCAACCTGACATATTCTTTCTAACCCTTGTTTGAAAATTTGTTTATTTTGAAATATTGTTAAAAACATTCAAATGAATTTCTTAAGAGTTTGTTGATGTAACATTAAGCTCATTAAATTATGAAATTTTATGATATATCTGGTCCTCAATTTTTTAGTAGCGCCATTACGTGTTACTAATACTGCTACATTATTTAAAATAAAAGCATATTCCTCTGTTTGCTGTTTAGCCATTTCACTCTATTTATTTGCACTATTTGTTCTGCAGACCAGTTCAGAGTCATAGATGACAGGTGGAATGACAGAATGGCAGGCAGGGTTGATCAGGACAGGACGATGGTGTTGTGAGAGCCCACGTCTCTGAGGTTCATGGCGTCCATACTTACTCCCGTCTCATAAACAGGGTTGTCAAATGCAGATTCTTCTGTCATGTTGTCATACGGTGGCGATGACGCCCCAGGGAGCTGAAAAGTCTTGCTTTGAGCTCTGCAGGGACAAACAAAATGACATTATTAGTGAAAAACAAAACCACACAGTGTCCTTTTCCCTGCCCTTGAAACTTACATTGAGATGCAGAGGAAAATGACCAAGAGGAGCATCAGCACCGCCGCTACAGGAATCAGAACTGCGATAGCGATGTTGACGTCCTCTACATCAAACTCTGAATCAGCAGCTGTAATGTGGACATTTTACGGAACATTTTTTAAAAATAATACAATGATGAATTAGGATGTTTGAACCTTTAGTGATCAAAACATTTTGATAATATGAAAAATAGTGTCACCGTTCAATCTGTGTTCCTCATTGCTTCTTGTGGAAGCTGAAAAACAACAACAACAACTAATGTGATACACTTGAATCATTGAACAGTGCTTTAAAACTCATGTAAGATGTATGCCACTTACACTAAAGGAGATTAGGATAATAATTCTTGTCTATACAGACCTTTTCTTTTTTGAACATTTTATTTAAACATTTTACTTTAAGAGTGCAGTTTGTACCTCTGCACATAGGGGGCGCTCCGCTCCATTGAGAGGGATGTCCAGGGAGGCAGTGGATAGTGGGTTCACCCTGAAGCACATAACCTGCACGGCAGGTGAAGCTCAGAGTCTCTCCTGCCTGGAAGAACGCTTTCTCTGAACTTTGGATGGCCGTGGAGGGGGCGCCAGGGTTACTGCAGGGTTCATATCTTTCAGCTAAAGAAAAACAGAGATTTCAGTCTGCTGGAATGCACTGTATGTGCTGGGACGCAGTAATCCTGAATTCCACTAGATGGCAGTAGAGCGTAAGATTTAGGTTTGCATTTCTTGGAATGCTGAAAAATAAATATTAAGAATGCAACAGCACAGATGTTTTCCACTTACGGACACATTTGGGCAGTCTTTCACTCCACTTTGGGGCTGCAGTATCTCTGCTGTAGCAAGTGAGCACTCCTGGGCCAGAAAGTGAGTATCCTTTGTTGCAAATGTACTCCACGGACGATCCCACAGAGAAACGAGAGCCGGTCACCAGTCTCCTGCTGTTGTCCACTAGTCCTGGATCCTCACATGACATAACTAGGCAAATATAAAAAAAAAAGGGGAAGGCAAGGGAAAAAAAAAGGAAAAGGAAACCTTTAAACATTTCCCAACACTGAAAAACAAAGAATTATGAATCAACGTGTTAGTTCACCCAAAAATGACACTTATATTTAGTATATTTAGATTTTTTGGTTATTTTTAAATTTTTTATTGCATGAAATAATAAAAATAATACATTAAAAATAAACAAAAAATCTAAATATACTAAATATAAGTGTCCTATATACTAATATGTTTTTGCGTGGTTAAAATATAAATAATCTTTAATAATAACTGTATATATTATTTAATAATAATGTGTTATAACTGAACAAATATTTATTATAAATATTAAATATATAAATCTAAATTCTATTTTAAATGTGAATTGGAGTGGTTAAAACATTAGTGATAATAATTGTATTATTAATGAAAAATATAAATTAATTATATTAATATTATGTCAGTTACTTGTATTAATTAATTTAATTACTTAAATAAGGAATTTGTGCAGAGGTTTCGGCTCAGTACACTGTGATGCACATCTTTATGTTGAAATTTTAGTGAGAATTCAAATATAATATTAATTTAATATAATATGTTTCCTCTTCAAGAATCAAATCAGTCTAAATATTATCAAATATTATCCTCAAACCAACAAATTGCCATCGCTAAACCCACACAGGTACCTGCCAGTTAATGCTTCTGAAAACTTGCTTTCCGTTTTCAAAGTTAACTGATTCTGCATCTATCAGGATAGAGAGGAAGGATATAACCTTAATTCACCAGTAGGTGGCAGTCGACCTAGTTTTAAATCTATGCAGTCATTATCAGCATGTTAAAGGGGTCATATGATGCGATTTCAATTTTTCCTTTCTCTTTGGAGTGTTACAAGCTCTTGGTGCATAAAGAAGATCTGTAAAGTTGCAAAGACTAAACCGGACGCTCCTTCGTCGAATCCGCCAGCCGCGCCATTCTCAAGCTCACCCGCCTCTGCTCACTCAAGCAGGCGTCCGCTCACTCTAGGCCGCGGCTCACTCTAGCCCCCGGCCTCCGCTCACTCTAGGCCGCGGTGTGTGACGCTGTTTCGTTGTGAAAGCGAAACTACTTTGTTTGGCCTTCCAAAAGAGGACACGACTGGAAATCAGTGGTTAAGTTGTATTTACAACACTGTTCCAGAACAGTTTAACCCAAATATTCAGATGTGTCCAGCGCATTTTATGGAGGACTGTTTCCTGATCCTGGTAGAGTAGACTACAATGCCGGCTGTTCTGACTCATAGACTGTAAGTACGTTTTTTATATTTAAAGAATTTGCCACTGATGATTCAAATGCGAGTTTTTTGGGCAGTGTAGAGTAGCACTTGTTGTTTGTCATTTCTCCGATCACAAATGCAGACATAGTTTTATGTTTATGCGGCGCGATGCAACGCAAGGCGTACAAGTCATTATAATCCATAATTATGTCCCCACTGGATGCAACAAATGCCTCGTTTATAATGGGTTTTATTGTTTTTGTCTCGTTGCTCCGGCCGGACAGGGCATCACAATATGGTATATGCTTAATGTGACTCAAGCACTAATGATCTGGTGTGTCCTTTAAGTGTGATGTTAGCTCTTACTTTTCTCACAGATGGGGACGTCTCCACTCCAAGTCAGATCCCACTGGCACATCAGGATCTCTGAACCCTGCAGACGGAAGCCTGGGTAACACTGGTAGGTAATAACAGTGCCATGGGTCAGGTCGGGATGAGACGTGCTCTTCCAGCCATTAAGGATTTCTGGCAGCTCTGCACAGGTGTCGTTACGTGGCACTTCTAGTATTTGGATGGTGGAAGGACAAAAGAGGCATGGGGTCTTGGGATTATTCTATTTTTACCATTAAGTTTTGAATGTATATGAGGCCGCTGTGAGAAAACAGTTGCCCATCTCAGTCTTTGCCAATGACAGGCACTGCCAAGCAGGCTGGCACCTCTATACTGCTTGTTCAGACACTGGGGGATTATCACTGTTCAAACATGATTTGGACAGTGGCTCAATAGACATGTCAATAACTGATCCTTAATGTACTAATGTTCACCGTAAAATGCTTACCGTACATACAAATAAAACTCTCTTATTGCAAATAAAACAAATAAAACAAGAATGTAAAGATGACCAGCAGATTTTCATAATGCCACTTACCAAAAAAATGCACTACAAAGCCATTGTTGTATCCGTAGACGTTAGAGGCTGGATCAGATTGAAACTGGATGGTCACATCAGCTGTAGAGGTGTAGAGTCTAAATCGAGGAAGGAAACCGCTGTACTGGCCCAGGATGTTAGCTGTGAGGTCATCACCATCATAAAAGGTCAGCAGGTCATTCTTCCCCAAACGAAGACTAATAAAACAACACAAATGAATGCACATCATTAATGTAGCTCAGGTTGTAGCTCACACCATAATTCTGTATTGACATTTAATTTTATGATAATAATATAATATATAATTATCTTTTGAACCTACAGTTGAGAAAATGAAACTTCATGTGAATATGTTTTAAGTGATTTAAATATTAAATCTTAATGTTAAATGTTTAAAATACTAAATATATGTTGTATTCCACTAAAGAAAATAATCATACAGGTCTGAAGCAAAAGAAGGGTAAATGATGACAGAAAATGTATTTTTAGGTGAACTATTTGATTAGTTAGAAGAAGAATGGTGCCATTCTAACATAAGAAGCCATCACACCACCAGCCACATTTTTTCCCCAGATGGTTTGCTGATGTCATTCTGCAATTCGTCTTCATTTCCAAACCAATATGAGTAATGCAAGGGAAAAACTAATTACACAGCCTAGGCAGAATTTTACACAACAGTATCCACGCTGAGAATCAATCTTGTTTTCCATTCTGTCATGCTAAATGGCAATAAAGTCCAGTGTTTAGATTCCCTCATCTATCAGGAGGCTGCATTTACCTCTTCAATGGGAAAGTGACATTTCGCAAAGAAATTAGATTTATTTAGTGTAATGTTGGAAAGCAGAGAGGCAGAGCCCTCAGGGCGTCACACAGCTGTCAGCCCTTTGGGTTCTGTTGTTTGGGAAGGTCACAGATGAGCTGTGTTAATATTCACAGCCTGACAAAAGACAGGGGTACAATGAGGGTTTACAGAGTTAAATACACATATGCACGTCCTGATGATCAGCTGAGATTGAGATATTTTTTCTTCTTCTTACACCAAACAGACTCATTGTTAGAGACTTGTCTTTCAGGTCTCTGTGTGTGTGTGTGTGTGTGTGTGTGGGACAGGAACACTAGAACAGCCGGGCTTGTTTCTTCATCTCGTTCCTCTTCCACAGTGCCAGACGGTCAAACTCCACCATCGTCATCCCAAACACCTCATAGAACTCCTCAGGGGAAAGATGCCGCTAAAATGTCAAGGAAACATACTACTCAGTATATCCATCTATTCATCTGTTTTAATTTTTTGTAAGCACTTATTAAATATTGAGAGAGAGAGACAGAGACAGAGAGAGAGGGATGGATAGACAGATCGATAGATAGATAGATAGATAGATAATATTCTCTTATGCTCACCAAAGCTACAATTATTTAATAAAAAATACAGTAAAACAGTAATATTGAGAAATATGACAATTTAAAATAATTGTTTTCTGTTTTAATATATATTTTCAGAAGCTAGTAAAGCTGAACTAATGATGCATGTTGGGACACAGAGTCTCTGGGAGCTGAGATAATGTCGCACTCAGCCTCAGAAAGAGTCGATGACTGTGGTGGACCATTGGCTTCTAAAAAGGGCAGAATGTCAGAGCAATAAAAAAAGACAATTTTTTCTTCTTAAAGCTGCAGTCTGTAAGTTTTGTCTCTTTGTCACCATCTCTGTTTGAAAACCTGCAATTGCAGCTGTGTGCGGAATTATCTTCCCTGTGTGGGTTGTGCGGTGGTTCGGCTCCAGCGCGGATGAATCTAATGTTTTGAGGAGTATGTGTGGCAGTCAGTCACCACACCGGT